CACACCACTGCATAGGGCCTGCTGTAGCGGTAACTTGAAGGTGGTCGAGATGCTGTTGAAGTATGGCGTTGATGCAAACACCCAGAACAATGTCAGTGCCACCCTCATTCTTCCCCTGAAGGCGTCTTTTTTATGTTAACCGCCTCCTTTCTCTTTTCTTTCGGGTTTGCATTTGGTTTCGGTGCGCCACACCTGACACGATGATAACTTACGATGGCCATCTGCACGTGATGGTAATGCATCAAACCATAGCGTGGCGATACCCCCCTGCACAAAGCCTGCGCTGTCGGTTCCGTGGAGGTGGTGGAGACACTATTGAAGCTCGACGTCGATCTTGAAGCTAGAGGCACCGTCAGTACCCCCCCCTTTCCATTGTTGGCTGCTCTTTGGGTCGGCCGCCCCACCTCTCTTCCCTTTGGTCTGTTGCTTGAGTGCCATATATCATGTCCATGCAAAGCTCATCATGGCACTGTGGGACACATGATATTACTGCACCTGTACGTAATGGTGAACGCGTCAATACACAGCATGGCTATACACCACTGCATCTTGCCTGCAACTGCGGTGAGACGCAAGTGATCGAGACGCTGTTGAAGCAAGGTGCTGATATCGAAGCCAAAGATGATGTTAGTACCTGTTTGTTTGTTTGTTTTTTTTACAAAGAAATACGCGTTGATGTTTCATGTGCTTGTCTTTGCACATTTGTCTTCTCCCCTGGCAATTTCCCTTGTTCGTCCATTATTTTGTCTCTCGCCTCACTCCCGATTCACGGTTTTGCTGACGTATGGATCGTCAAGCTTCTTGCCTGCAGCCAGCTTCCTTGATGTTCTCTTCCTGTTTCCCTCGAATTGTGCATTTCAATGCTAGATTGTGGTTTTGCCTTGTTCTTGTCTTTTCCATCCCTAAACTTGATCAAATACAACTCTGCCTTGCCCGTTGTAGTTGAACGCTACCTCATCTTGGCCCTGCATGATGTTTCACAGATCGACAGAACGCCTCTTCACATCGCCTGCTCTTATACAACTGAGGGCCCTGTGGCTGTGTTACTGGAACATGGTGCAAATGTTGACGCACGAGACGAGGTCAGTTTACCACATGCTGGCCCGTATTTGTTTTCTTCAAGTCCATGAAATCGCAGCTGGTGTGTTGGCTAACACACCTCGCCAAGGTCGTTTCTCCCCCTGTCCCCGGTATTTTTTTGGTTTGGTTCGTGTTGTAAATGCAAGTACTAACCCATTGGTATCACAGTGGAATCAAGTGCCACTTGATCGCATGTTGAGGCTTGAATGGATTGATTTACATGTGAGTAGTAGTATGACGTATTGCCAAAGTGGCATCGCGACCTCTTGAATCTCTCACCTTGCCTGGACACGCACGGGTTAGTTGGTTCGCGAGATACTTCGTGCCAGTCGTTGGCCCAGGTTGTATCAGACTTCGGATCCAGAAGGTAAGATGCTCAAGATCAAAGGATGAATGCTCCCACCGCTCGCTCATAGAAGACTTTCGTGGCTCTAGTCCGAGCGGTGATTCTGACTGAGCAGAAAAAACACAGCTTTGGTTCGGTCGCGGTGCTCTTCGCTGCCGGCTGGCGCATGGAGCCCAAGGCATTTGATGAGCGTGCTTTTGATGACCTGAGGTCAATCATCCGCAAGTTGCGTGCCTAAAGCCGGTCGACAGGCCAGCAACCGCCTTTCAAGGTTATCAGGAGGCCTTGAATGAGAGGACAAGCATCACGAGTACAAGCATTGACCTTTTGGACGAATCTCGTGGGTCATTGTTTTGAATGTTGACCATCAAAAAGACTGCTCGTGTGCTCTGCATGTGTGTTGCCAGGGAATAAAAGTTTGGTCCCACTTCCCATAGGTGTAAACATTGTCTTTTGACTTTTTTTGTCGTTAAGTTTTCAATTTTTTTTTTTGAATGTGATTTGAATCGCAAAGCAAACAGAGGAAACAAGGTACAAAGTAAAATGCCACTTCCAGTCGACAGGACCGTGCTTATATCTCGGTGACAGGAACAATCACAATGTTCTACAGGCTTCCTTCACGAGCGCCGTCAACGATAATCAAACATCAACCTGTCATGGATGATCGCGATTGCCAGACCTGGTATCTTTCTGGACACGCGTCCATGCTTGTAGTTCAATAAGGTTTCTCGACAAGCAGCGGCAGAGGAGCACATTGTCGAATGCGGTTATGGGATCCTTCCAGAAGGTTCTGGCAGGTGGTCGATGCTTACATTCCAATAGCACCAGGCCCATGAAGAGAGCGGGCGATGTTTGTGACTTCCGCCCGCTGCGACCAGTGTTTGGCGCACATATAGCCGGTATTGACTGGCTCGAGCGCTCTGATATGTTCTGAGCCTTGGCGCTCGTGAAGCCAGGTAGACTGTTATCCTCCGCCACCACGGCAAGTCGTCGCAGCAGACTAAGACAATCAGAGCCAAGACCGCCGGTCGTGATCATCGTTGTACTTGGACATTAGGAGGAGGGAGTCAGAGAGAGAAACGCAGAGACAGAGAAAGCGAGAGAAAGGCAGAGGCAGAGAGACAGAGAGACAGAGAGAGACAGAGTGACAGAGAGACAGAGAGACAGAGAGACAGAGAGACAGAGAGACAGAGAGACAGAGAGATAGAGAGACAGAGAGACAGAGAGACAAAGGAAAAGACAGAATTACCACATGTGATGAAAGAAATGAAACGTCTCTCAGTTGTCAGCAATTCAGACTCACTTTTTTTTTTTTTTTTTTTTTTTTTTTTTTTTTGTGAATGTGCGCCCCGACCATGTTGTCGCGTTGGGTCGTGTACAGTCTGCGCGTGGTGATGAACCAGGCGGTGATCTACGCCGCTTTGGCCAAGGATGAGCCGATCATCGGGATGGATGTCAATGGCAACCTCTTCATCAACACCTCATCAACGGGCAACGGGCGGCTGCTGCTGAATGGGGTTGATGTGATCCAAGAGCTGACTGAGTCACGCCAGATGTGCGCCGGCACAATATCAAAGACCACAACATTGCCTCCGACCACCACCACGGCCACCACCACGGCCATCACCACGGCTGCTCCCACAGACTTGCCCGTCACGTACTCGGGTACAATCGGTTGTGAGCTGGAGAACGTGCCTTCAAACGTTGCGTATGTCATGGGCAACGTTCGCCTGACATCTTGCCCACTTCTGACGGCAAATGATCTCCTGCAAGTTTTTCGCAAGCTCGTCCAAGTGAGCGGGGACTTGAAATTCGACGTAAGTTTGACGTGTCACTATTGCTTTTTCTTATATTCGTGGGCGCAAATGATAACCAGAATATCACGTCCACCCCACTGACACCTTCACTGTCTGGCAATGTGTGCGCTCATCACACTTGGCAGTGATGCCAATGTGTGTCTTGAATATTTATGACCATGACAAGGGCGGATTGGGATAAATGTGTGGTGGTGAGCGACTCATTCTGTGCTCTGCTGGCGGTTGCAGAACAATGGCGCTCTGACCAACGTGGATGGGCTTGCAACTCTCGCAAGCGTTGGAGGCGACTTGTACATAAACGTACGTTGTCGTATGAGAGGGCGTGTCATGTTGATGTAGATGTTTGAAAGATTCGCGGAGAGGGTGAGACGTGTCTGATGTGTGTATTGTTTCTCTGGCTGTCGCAGAGAATGACGCCCTGACCAACGTGGACGGCCTTGGCAGTGTCGCCAGCGTGGGCGGCCACTTGCACATCAACGTACGTTGTCGTATGAAAGGGGATGATGTTGATGTGACATGTGTGGACGAGGCGGTCAGCGGATGGGGATGATGGGGTGTGTTTGTGAGCGTCTGATGTGATGTATTCTTCTCTGGCTGTCGCAGAACAATGCCGTTCTGACCAACGTGGACGGTCTTGGCAATGTCACCAGCGTGGGCGGCCACTTGTACATCAACGTACGTTGTCGTATGAAAGGGGATGATGTTGATGTGACGTGTGTTGACGAGGAGGTTAGCGGATTGGTACGATGGGGTGTGTTTGTGAGCGTCTGATATAATGATTTGTTACTCTGGCTGTCGCAGTACAATACCGCCCTGACCAACGTGGACGGCCTTGGCAGTGTCGCCAGCGTGGGCGGTCACTTGCACATCAACGTACGTTGTTATATGGGAGGGCATGATGTTGACTTGACATGTATGGATGAGGCGGTCAGCGGACTGGAACGATGGGGTGTGTTTGTGAGCGTCTGATGCTGTTTCTCTGGCTGTCGCAGAATAATGACGCTCTGGCCAACGTGGACGGCCTTGGTGATGTCACCAGCGTGGGCGGCCACTTGTACATCAACGTACGTTGTCGTATGAAAGGGGATGATGTTGATGTGGGACGTGTGAACGAGAAGGTCAGCGGGTCGGGACGATGGGTGCTTGTGAGCGTCTGATGTGATGTGTTGTTACTCTCGCTGTCGCAGAACAATGTCGCCCTGAGCCACGTGGATGGCCTTGTTGGTATCACCAGCGTGGGCGGCTACTTGAACATCTACGTACGTTGCTGTATGAGACGGCATGATGTTGAGGTTGCAGATTGGTACGATGGGGTGTGTTTGTGAGCGCCTGATGTGATGAGTTATTTTTCTGGCTGTCGCAGAGCAATGCCGCCCTGACCAACGTGAACGGTCTTGGCAATATCACCAGCGTGGGCGGTTACTTGAAGATTAAGGTACGTTGTCGATTGAGACGGCATGATGTTGATGAGATGAATGTAAACGAGGAGGTCAGCGGCTTGGAACGTTGGGGTGTGTTTGTGAGCGTCTGATGTGATGTGTTATTTCTCCGGCTGTTGCAGGACAACGACGCCCTGACCAACGTGAACGGCCTTGGTAGTATCACCAGCGTGGACGGTTACCTGAAGATTGAGGTACGTTGTCGGCTGAGACGGCATGATGTTGATCTCACGTGTTTGGACAAGGAGGTTGCGGATTGCGGCGATGGGGTGTGTTTGTAAGCGTCTGGTGTAATGTGTTGGTTCTCCGGCTGTTGCAGGACAACGACGCCCTGACCAACGTGGACGGCCTTGGTAGTATCACCAGCGTGGCCGGCGATTTGAACATTTGTTCAAACTCTCAACTTGACACATCAATGATACCTGCCTCTGTTCGATCATTGGGCACATGCCAACTCATCACGAGCGGAGGTTGCAGCTCTTGTTGAACTGCTGCAAGGTATTGCTAGCTCTTTGATAAAGTTCTGGGTTTCGGCTACAAGCGGAGTGTGTTATTTTGACTACAAGCATCGACCACCCTAGAGAGGAATTCGCCAGTGATCATTCCCGGGGCTGCTCGTTGAGGGATCATTTTGTCAACCGCGAATTTGTCATGCCACCAAACTGTGCTTGTATGTCGGTGGCAGGAACAATCACAATGTTCCACAGGCTTCCTTGACGAGTGCCGTCAAGGATAATCAAACGTCATCCTGCAGTGGTTGATCACGATAGCCAGGACTGGTATCTCCCAGTGTGTTCCAGCAGCTCCCGGACATACGTCTATGCTTGTAGTCCAATACCGAACGATGCAGTGCTTGTTGATCATTCTGTTGACGGCCACAGTCTGTTTGTTCTGACTTTGTTTTGAATTTATTCTGAATTTGTTCGCCTTATTCGAGTCAAAAATGGATCTTGGCCTTGAGAAAACGACGGCTCATCTTCGATTCAAACAACAGTCATATTCAAGCCACAGCACACAGGTGCAGGAGACTGTGGCCACGCAACTTTGTGCCGACAATGGCATTGACAACATCATCGACGAGCTGTATGTTGACGTGGTGGAGCTA